AGTACAAATAATTTAGTTAATAGTCAACACGTCAGAATTATGCATTTCTGGACAAGTGTTTTCAAAGGTAAACTGCTCAATCGTAAATAACAAAATGCTCTATAAGACATGTTGTAAATAATGTATATATATGTACTAATGGCTTTGTGTGTGGTGTGTTTACAAGCAGCCCTCAGCCCCTGGCCCAGTTTCTATCCCGGGTGGAGGTGTTCCTCTGAACATGAGAGAAGTAGAGGAGCTGGAGAGAATGACCAAGGACTTCATTAAAGACATGGACACACACGCACCTGTCATCACCTCTCCTCCTACAGGTACATAGACACACAGACACACAGAGTAGTGGCCTTAATATTCATGGTGGGTTCTAGTATTTTTTTTTATTAAAATGGTTTGTAATGTTACAGAAATTGTAATACACCACACTGGAAATAAGAAAAATAATCTGTTGAGGGGTTTTCTGTCTGCTTGAAAAATTAAAAATGTATGCTTTTATTTATCTCTCCAGTGGTTTGAGTCCTTTCCTCCTTATCTGCTGTTTGCTAACAAATATACCTACCTAAGCTATGTGTGTTGTATGGAACTTGATGTCGCAAAAAAAGACAACTTTACAACTGAATGAGTTAATTAGGGGACGACACTGTAATAAACACAAGCAGAGCTGAGTAGACAGATGGTTGTATTTGTGAACAATGTTGTTTGTATATCTTACTCTCTTTTCAACCCTCTTTCTCTCTCCCTTCCCATTTCAGAGGTCTGTGGGAAGTGTGGTGAGGCTCTGTCCCGTACCCAGCCAGCAGTGAGGGCCATGGATAAACTCTTCCACTCCAACTGTTTCTGTTGCATGAGCTGCCATCGCCCCCTGCAGGGCATGCAGTTCTATGACAGGGACGGATCACCTCAGTGTGAGGACTGCTATATGGTGAGTAGACACACACAGATTGTCTATCTTTAATTATTTTAACTTTGAATGTAACAATGTAAATTCACATTTTGGCAATTTTATGTGTTTTGTGTGTTTTTAGTAAAACACAAGGGTCAGTTCCACTTAGATTTACTCAGTCCACACTTCATTCTGCATACTTATGAGTAAACACCATTAGAATGAAATGTTCAGTGCATACCTGAAGTGTGTAGAAAGTACTGAACCATGTTGACACAGTGAATATACCGCCCACCTGTGTGTTTCCAGCTTATTAACTAGTACCTCCGTCTCAGTTACATCTTATTTTCCTCCTGCTCCTCCTCAGAGTTCCCTGGCTGTGTGTTCCCGGTGTGGGGAGAAGATCACAGACCGTGTGCTGAAGGCGGTGGGCCAATGTTTCCACGCCCACTGTTTCCGCTGCAGCACCTGCTCCTGCACACTTGAGGGGGCACCCTTTATCACTGATGACAACAACAATCCCTACTGTGTCCAGGATTACCACAGGTAGCTAGTGGCTGTTGATTCCTCAGTGATTAACCTAAGGACATATTGCGTATCTATTTATTTCTTAGTAGTTTGCAATGCAATGTGTGATACCAAACATATAATGTGGGGAAAAAGGCTAGGGAAAAATGTCTTCACCAGTAATCTTCTGATTTTTACCTACATCATTTGTCAGCACAAGAAAGCATTAGCAGGTGTTTTGAGGACAAATCAATTTTAGCAGTGTTTGTCAGGATTACTGATAAGAGCTGTGGAGGACAAAGGCAGCAACCCTTCTTACTCACTTGATTCGGACTAACGACTGAAACTTGTGTCTCCGTGTCCTGCTGATAAAACGTTTACACAGCATGCTAAACTGTAGATGAAATAATCTGATCTGACAAAGTTGATTAATCCTCACTACAGTGTGAGAATTTGACTGAAGGCTGTTGACTAACAGTCAGCTCTCCACCCCGCTATTCCAGGCGTTTTTCTCCTCTCTGTGTGAGCTGTAATGAACCCATTGTTCCAGCCGCGGGCAGCGAGGAGACAGTCAGAGTGGTGGCTCTCGACAAAAACTTCCACCTTAAGTGTTACCGTTGTGAGGTAAGACATTTAAACATCTTATACATCACGTTGTGTGTTCAATAAACTTTATAAAGTAACAAAATGCTAATAATTTCATTTGTTCTGTAGGATTGCGCTCGCCCTCTCTCCATAGAAGCGGATGAAAATGGCTGCTATCCATTGGATGGTAAGATCCTGTGTATGAAGTGCCACACCCAGCGAGCCAAGCAAGCTGCGCACTGATTGGCTGAAGCAGCGTCACTCAGATTAACTATGAACCAAATCCAAAAAAAAGCACAGGATTCATTCAGCTGCCATTTTTGCCTTTGAAACAGGGCTTTATTCAGTATATGTGCGCAGGTGTGAGTGTGAATGTGTGAAAAGGTATGTTTGCATGCAGATAGTGTAGTATTTCCTCGTCTCTGTTCACTTCAGTGCAGAAGTAATGTACTGCATTGGAATAACGCCCCTCATCTTTTTATTCCCAAGCTCCAATCTCTCATCTAACCTTCTTTGTGTACTAGAGCGTATTTTTTTGTGCCAATTCTCTGTTTACGCTGAAATTTCCAGCATAACTTGCACAAGACCAGTTTTGTCAAAAGAGCAGTCAGATGAAAATAAAGTTGCCTTTCTTCGTTTCTCCTCAATAATGTTAGTAGCACCATGTTCTGGGATATTTCCATCTTTCACTGGCTGGTCTCTTTCCCTAGGAGCATTGTAACTATACAATGACAGATTGTTCCCATAGGGAGAGGAGTATCAAGGACATCCCGTTTGACCATTCAGCAGATTTTACCACTATCTTTAACACTTGTTGCAGTTGTTGTGCCTGAAGCATGGTTATTGAAGCTTTCCAGCCTAGAAAGTGCTTCATATCAGCCAATCTACTCTGATAGCATTTTAAAATCATCTAGGGCTAAACGTTGACTGCAAAAAAAGATTTAAAACAGTGAATGTCGCTCTTAGTTTTTTGTGATGTGAATTTGACGATTTACAGGCATGCGTTTATTATGTCTTGTTGCGCTCTCTTATTTGATCGTACATACTGTATAAGGGCAAGATTAGAACAAAAATCTGCCATTTTCTTCTCAAAAATAGTTTAGAGCTGATTTAACAGCGTATTTTTAGATGCATGTGTTTTTGGATGCGCAAATTTTGAACAAACAGTCGAGCACAGATTTGCCAAGCACAGATTCCATTCCAGGGATCTCATAATTTAAAAAACTATGTAGTTATAAATGTCAGCAGCATGGCTGAAAACAGGACCTATTATGTGATCGTTGCACAGTTCTATAGTGAAATAAAATATCCTTTTAGTGTCACTTTGACTCTAAAGCCCCCGCACATGATCAATTTAGTTCGTTTTTTAAGTAGATGCCATCTAGAAATAGTAGTTTTTGATATGCATTCTCTTGGAATCTCATAATTTATGGACCTTTTTCTTTTTCTTTTTTTTTACTAAGTATTAAGGTTACTAAATGACTTGTCCTTATAGCAGGATATTAAATTAGTAGAGGCATTAGCTTTGAGCTTTAGGTAACTTTAAGATAAACATAGTGATCAAATATTTCAAAGCTGTTTGCAAGATTATGGTTAATAAAACAGTTGCATTAGATTCAATGTTTGGACATTCATGTTTTATATCTCCTTTTTTTGTGTTTAAGCCCAGTTTTTTGGTCTTGATCCATTCTATTGTTATATTAAATACCACTATTCTTTCCGTTATTCATCTTTTGTACTTTAGCCTGTTCATGTCGGTTATATACTATTTTATTCCTATCTTTCTGTACTGTATTTCATTTGATTGATAAATGCTTACAAATATTAGGTTTCATTTTTAACCTGGAGATGTGCCTTCTCCACTATTGTATTCTACCATTGTTCCTTTTGAATTGAGCCTGGTTTGCAGCCACAAGAACTCATTCCACAATAAGAAAACAGTTGTTACTTGTGCTTGCATTGAGCCTGGTGCAGTATGACACCAGAACGACTTAACATGGCAATAGTTATTCAGCATTGCATGCTAACTGTGTTGGTGGTGGCGGCATTTCTTCTAGTATTATGTCTTTTGTTTGCACCAACTACTCCACCTTTGTGGCCCTTTGTCATCACTATGTGATATTATACGTATGACGATGCCTTCACAGTTGCATTTATCTGGCGTTTTGTTGTGTTATGTCCTATTGTATTACATGCGGATGCCTTGTCTTTTCATATAACTTTTTTTTTAATAAATTCCTGTTTGATATGTGTGAATGTGTATATGTTTAAAACATTATTTAGCCCCACCCCTACCCCTTTGGCTGTATCAAAAGATAAACAAATAAATAAAATGCAAAATACCAAATGTTTTTGTCTGATTGCTCATCTGTCAGCTGTGCGATTTTATAGCTCTGGACACCTACAATACGTGAAATAGTATAAGCAAGTGTAAGTAGTCGTAAAGTAAGTCATGTAGCTGTAAAGTTATACACAATTAGGAGTTCGTCATATTTGTTTTTGCCACCATATTCTCTCTGGTCGGCCTCCATGTGACATCCATGAAAAGTGTGTCCTCCCACACTCTCAATGATGTGCTACACTGTCACAGGACGCCAAAAGGCTCTATCAGTTGTTAACAGCCATGTGTTGCGCTGATAATGACGACAGCGGACATGTGTGCGTGTGCATCTAAGAGAGAGTGTTTACTTTCCAGAAGGTGCTTGCCCTCATTCAATGCAATGTAACAATGTATAAGCAAAAGCAATTTGTTGGCCTTAACTTACCAGTCCCAGCCCCCCTGTTCTCAGGCCCATGACACTGCAGACAGGAGGGGTAGTGGAAACACAAGTTAGACTCTTCATCTTGAGTTTCTCCTGAGTCCACAAGACATCCACATGCATGTCCCAGAGTAGAACCATAGTCTTTGCTTGATTATCTGTGTTCTGGAGAGGAGAGTAAGACGTAAAGACGTAACCGGCTGAGTTGTTTTTATCAGAGAGACGTGAGTGATGAAAAGAGATAGGGAGCTGGGACAACAGCTGTTTTGGGGGGGGGGGCACAGCAGGAGGAGGGAGCACATGTGAAACATCAAATGTAAAAGATAGAGGATGCAACACACTGGAGAAACACAGAGCAAGACGTCCATACACTAAGAATGAGTGAAACTCCAAGAGAGCTTGAGGTAGGACTTTTCCAAAATGACGCTTAGTTTACCATGTTCGATGATGCTTGTGTGATTGTTTTAGTTGCATGAAACGGGAGCAGAGCCGGAAAAGTTTTTATCAGTATATTAAGTAACTTGTACATTTTTAAGAGTAAGACAGAAAACATACTGTACATAGATAATAATATGCTGTATGATGCTACTGAACTGTAAAGTCATATCTGAATAGTAAAGTATTTATCAGTTGATATACCAAGTATATAATTAGGTTTCTCTGATTCAAACCTGAAATACACGAATATCCACTTTGTAATGAGTTTCATATCATGTAGCTGCTCTTGATAATGTTTGATGGTAAAGTTTAGTTTCTGAGTAGTGGGATCTTACAAGCCAGTGGTGTTTGTTGCTGAATGTAGTGACAACGGAAATTCCCAATGAAAGTAGTGAGAACGGAAATTCCCAAGTGGTTCGAGGAAATATTGAGAGGCCTCTTGTGCAGAGCAATTGAAATTACTCAAGCTTCAAGATCTAATGTTAAGAACTGATGTGTGTTGGGAAGAGCTGGGTGATCAGCGGGTTCTGGGATACCAGGAATCTCTGTTGAAGCTCATGGGCTCAGCACTACAATAGATCTGCCAAACACTTTTTATGTGGCTTATCAATCAGTAATGATGACACAGCTTAATGTTTTATATGGATGTACATTTCATCACTATTGAGTAAATACATCAGTGGCTCCCAACATGGGGATCTGGACTCTAAAGTGTAGACAGATGACTGATAAGACAAAAAAAAAACACAAAATGTTGCTTAATTTTTCTGGCTTTTTTAAAATCTTTGCTTTTTCTTAAAATACTGGACATGTTTATTAAAATGAAACCCCCTGAGAAGGAGACATCACTGTTGGTTTAAACCAGTGGTTCCAAACCAGGGGGTCGGGACACCCCCTAGGGGTTGCCAAAGATTGACACGGGTTGGCAAGGTAATCTCCATTTTAAGGGGTATGAAAACTTAATATATATATACACTAAACTAAATGATATTGTTTTTAGTTTAGATATAATTTGAGATTATTTAATCTGATCACCAGCTATATTCAGGGCCTAAACTGCCTCATCCTAAATCATTAAGAAGAAAACATTTAATTTGTAAAAAAAAAGAAGCCTATTATATATGTATGTAAAGTATATATTTTTTAAACATAATACAGAGGATTGTATAAAAAGTTCCCTAAAATGCAATATTCACAGGAAATAATCTGCTCAAAATTCACCCAAATTGTTGTTTTACATAAACTTCCTGCTGTTATTGCATTACTGTTTGTGTTAATTGTACAATTTATTCTACACTATTGGTCATCAGTTTACTCAATGATAGAAAAGGGGTCCCTTAAGGAAAAAGGTTGGGAACCACTGGGTTAAACTGCCTTTAGACATAGATGAGGATTACTATAGAGGTTGAAAACAGTGGGCTGCCTGCATTATTCTAACATCTGTGTGAGTGTGATATTTCTACAATTATGTTTTTTTTTTTTTTTTTAAGTATATTTTTTGGGGGCTTTTATTGCCTTTATTATAGTGACAGCTGAAGACAGACAGGAAAGGGGGGCAAGAGAGAGGGGGATTTTGGACACGCAGCCAAACGGCCGCAGTCGGGGATTTTCCAACCCTGGGGCCGCTGCAAGGGGCAAGGGACTTTTCAGCCCCTCGGTCATGGGGTCGCCCAGCTCCAACCCACTAAAGTTATTTCCGGGCGCCCACATTTATGTTATTTAGTTACATTCCTGCTTCACTTGTTACCTTCCAGACTCAGCTATCAGTCCAACCATCGTCACAGCCAGAACCTGAGAGGCAGCTTCAGCCTCCACCTCTGTTTCAGCTGCCACTCCCCACCCAAGATCCTTCCACTACCCATCAACTAACCCAGTTCCAGCCTGAGCTGTCAGAGCCTAACCCAGAGGACCAGCACCGAGCAAAGCCAGTGTGGATAAACCATCAAAGGCTGCTTCTCCTCCTTCTGGGGTTCTCCTTATGCGCTGCCATTCTGGGACTGATTTATTACATGCATCACAATCTTCAGAATAGGAGCAATAACCGGCCCGGCACTGGTAAGGCCGCCAGAATAATACAATGACGCAACAACATGACACAAGAAATTCAGAATTTTGTCTAACTCTTCTCTCACTCTTTCCTGTAGAGACTCCATGTCTCTCCCCAGCCTGTCAGTGGGCCTCGGACCGCCTGTCCATGTCTGCTGATCCCTTCACGCAGCCCTGTGATTACTTCTTGTTCACATGTGGATCTGACAGACTTTCACCAGACAGCGGGGGCAGACAAAGAGGTCAGGGTATCTCCGGACATCCACAGAACCAGAAGGAAAAGGTTGTATGGCCAAAGAGGAGAGCACAAAGTAAAGAGAGAGAAGACCAATCGCAGAAAAGAGAGAAAATACTGGACAGAAAAACTGTGATGCTGCAGTATCTCAAGGAGCTTTTGGGTAGGAGTCTGAAATTAAAATGTCTTCTTATGTACACCACTCTGCATTGTAGTGCTTTATCCAAACATATTTCTGTAAAATAGAGTATATCATATCAATGTATGTATTGTCTGAATTGTGTTCTTTCTTGATCTGTCTGTCAGAATCAAGCACCAGACCGGGTAGTACAGCAGTGCAGAAGGCCAAAGGATTCTATCATTCCTGTTTGGACATCAGATCCTTAGAGACCGCTGGAGCAGAGCCCTTCCTTGCACTCATCCAGAAAGTGAGAGAATTATAAAATTAATATAAAATGTGGGCCTGATGAATCCCATAAGAAAGATTGTCAAATGCAATCTGCCTTTATCACCGCTCTTTATTAGTTAGGTGGAATTAATTGTCCATTATACACAGCATCTCAGGCGTGCAAGGCACAAAGAAATTATGCAATATCCTACTGTTAAAATGGCAGGATTTTTAGCCATGCTAGCAGCATGAAGCCTAATGACTTTGGTGATCCTCTGACTTTTCCCCTGGCGCCACCATGAAGTTGACATTTATGGTTCTGATTCTTCGGTTTATGACAAAATGCCTGCAGGTTTGCCTCAGCTCTACTTTGCATTTATTGATATTAACAAATATTGCATGCTGACTTGCTAAACTGAGATTGTGAACATGATATAAATAATATACTTGCAAACCGTCTCTAATGCCAATGCTAAAAGAGTTGAAATGTCTGTCTGCAGCTGACTTTGTGATGTTAAACGTTGAATTGTTTTAAAACAAGAACCCTGTAAAAGGTTCCTAAATGTGCAAAGCTAACATGTTGATTATGTTAAGAAGGTATTATCCGCATTTTAACATGTTTTTCCATTAGCATTTAGCTCAGAGCACAGTCTCACATCTCTTAGTCTCATTTAAATTAGACTGATTGGTCCAAAGAATGTGCTACAATTACAAGTAATAATGTCATAACAATTTTGTTGAGTTTTTCCTGTTTGACAAAAGTATTGATTGTAATATCTGTGTCCCACTCTCTTATTTATGATCACTTTTTGTGTATGCAGCTGGGAGGCTGGGCAGTATCAGGCCAGTGGAATCAGACCGATTTCAACTCCACCCTGAGCCTGCTCATGAGAGACTACGCCACCTTTCCATTCTTCAACCTCTATGTGGGCAGAGACCCAAATGAAATTGCCCGCGGGACAACCAAAAGATACATACAGGCCAGTATCCATTAGGATAATTTGTAAGTCCTAACATGCTGGTGGGAACACTGCCATACCCAAAGTAGGCTTTATGCTATTGCTTTAACTCCAGTCTCCTCTTTGTCAACAGATTGATCAGCCAGATCTGTTGATCCCGATTGAATGGGACCGCAAGACACAAAAGTCTAAAGCTAAAACTCAGGTTAATGTCTTAGCCAGACCCCTATTGATTGAAGAAATATCTTTTAATAAATACAACAATATTCATCCATCCCACTAATGCATTCCTTTATCGTTCTCCTGTCTCTTTTCATCCAGACGCTACGTCCTTTCTTGGCATCGTGTCAGAGGTACCTGGCACTGTTGGGGGCCCTGCCCAGCCGCAACATGATCCACGTGGGCACGTTCATCTCTCTGTCCTCTGAGCTCGCCGTGGCTGCTACACCTCTGCAGTATCGCCTGTCGAAAGGCCAGCTCCATCAGCGCATGACCATCAAAGAGCTACAGGTACTGGTCGAGGAAGATGTGTCGCTATACACACACATACTGTGTCTCAATCCGCTGTAATCTTTCATTTTCTTTATACCCACAGAGCCAGGCGCCTGCCATTGATTGGTTGGGCTGTCTGCAGGCTGCTTTCCATCCACTGCCCCTCAGTGAGGATGATGATGTTCTTCTGCATAACTTGCCCTACATTGTGCAAATGTCCCACATCATTGGCAAATGGCTGTACAAGCATGATCTGAGAACCAGGTACTGTAAGTGACACAAAACAACCCACCATAAAATATGCCTGGACTTTTTTTATTTTTTGACCTTGTTTTGCCACGTTTGATTCCACTCAGCGCCCCCCTTCATACTTACATGGTCCTCAATCTGCTGCACACTCTGATGCCTGCCCTAGACTCAAGATTTTCTGAAACTGCTGCAAATCTGTCTGTGACTCTGGGTAACAGTGACGGGGTGAGTCAACACCATCTTTCTTACTACTACCTTCTATACTGTTTTTTAAAAGAGATGTCACCTACGAGCTGGTTTGTTGAGTCACATCTTCATTATGGGCCTCTTCACCAGGTAGCCCCTCGCTGGAAACAGTGTGTGTTAGAGACTGAGAGAGGATTTGACTCAGTTCTTAGAAACCTTCTCAGTGAAAGGACAGCGCACAGAGAGGTAGGTAGTCATCATGGGGATTTGTGACAACAACTATTTAATTTATAAGGCTAATTTTATGAAGTGTATTCAAGATTTTTATTGTTCAACAGGCAGAGGAGATTATACAAAATATATTTTCCTCCTTCAAGTCCAAATTACATGAACTAAAGTGGACAGATCAGAAGTCTCTCCAGTCTGTCATGAAAAAGGTAACGTGTGAAGCAATTTATTGTACTTGTCTTTTTTAAAACTGCATTTTGTTAGTATCTTTTATATCAAAGGCCTGTCCTCTTTCTTCCAGGTTGAGTCTTTAATTCCAAGACTTTGGACTACAGAGAAGATCTCGAATGATGCTGAGCTCGACCTGCTTTTTTCCAAGGTACATAACAGACCTGTAACAGCTCTAAAAAGTGTATAAAGATTGTATCTTCTTTATTAACCATAGTTAACTCTGCTGACTAACACCTTTGACTCTACAACCTGTATGATTCCAGGTGACAGTCAGCACAAATAGCTTCTTCTCCAACTACGTCCAGCTACTGTCCTTGTGGCAAAAGAGACGCAGTCAGCTCTTGACTGAGCGCACTGAGGCTGCTGATATGTAAGTGTCTGCCTCTATTTCTTTAAGTTAAGAAATATGAATATTTTAAATTAGTATTTAATCTATTCTCATTTTCTTTTAGTCTGTCTGTTACACCAGTAATCCTGGGTAATGAGCTCCTCTTTCCCATGGGAATGTTTGTCTCTCCTCTCTTCCATCCTACCTATCCAAGGTAAAGTATACACTAAATTCAAAATCAATATCAATAGGGACCTTTCATTAAACATTATAATATACAGTTTGTTTTAAGGAATGTAGAGATATATTGTGAGAAAGTTAAATCGCGATATACAAATGTGTGAAGATTAAAATCGATGAGATGAAAATAAATCGTGGTATCAAGAGGTAAAGACATCAGTTTCCCTTCACAAAAGGAAATATGCATTGTTTTTATAGTTTATTCCCTACCTCAGGAATTAAAAAGGATTCTTTAATTTAAAAATATGAAAAAAAAAAATTTTTGTAGGTTTTTGTCTGAGAAAATCTTATTCATTTTATTCTTTTATTCATAATCTGAATCAATCTCATGTTGTTAAAACAACTGTGAGAAAATTGAAGGTCTTGTTACATCCCTGTTTGTTGTACTTTTGTATTTTTTAACAGGGCATTGAATTACGGTGTAATAGGTTTCCTTATCGCCAAAGATATCCTCCACCTGATCCTGCCTGACAGTAAGAGAAGTTTACATTTGTCTAACAGTACATGTTTAGGTTACATACAGTTAATTACTTCAACAATATACTGTTTTTACGACGTCAACCCTGCCTTCTCTACACTCCACTTGCAGACTGCAACGTCATACTAATCCCTCTGTTGTGGTGCAGTTTTTTCTCAGAGTGAGACGGTGCATGTTGTGGGGGAATGTGTGTGGGCTCACTACCTCACTGTGACAGAAAAAGCGGGCCGGGGTGGAGTATTGTCTCTCTCAGCAGCGCAGCAGCAGGAGGTCTGGGTGCAGTATTCTGCACTGCAGATAGCATTGCAGGTGAGCAGCCATCTTCAGGCTTTAGTCTCTGTGTGTAAGAAAACATTAAGCTCATATATCCATGTCTTTTTTTTTTCTCAGGCTTATCATCAGAGTCTAAAGAACCATCCGAGTGACACTTCCCTCTCAGGACTGTCACACACTCATCTGTTTCTCACATCTTTTTCTCAGGTACTGTGCTTCTATTGTTAGGCGTTATCTCCTTTCACTCTCAAATACTGATCCCATTTCTTTTAATGTATCTTTTCCAGGTTAACTGTGACTCCGACCCGTACCGTGAATTCATGCCCTTGGAGCCCTCCTTCCTGATTACAGTCATTTGTGCCAAATCTGACCTGTGCCCTACGAGCCTACAGTGCCCCAATAAAACCCAGCAGCATTTACTACAGACTTGCTGAGTACGCTCAACTGGAGGCCAGCAGGTTTTGTTTTTGGAGTTACTGATTATTATGGATTGTCTGGCAAATTATCGACTTGGTGCTGCAGAAATTCAGCACACCGTGGATGCTGGCAAACTGTTGTTACAATAAAGACAACAGATATTTATTATGAGAGTACCGACAGTATGTATAGAAACAAGGAAACACTGACATTTTTTTTGTGTCGGTACTTAGTGTTTTAGATGCGTGAATTTCCATAGATTGCACAAGCTGTTAAGGTTTCATGTAAATAAAATAAATGTTTGAAAAACAATTTTCTCTTAATGTCTTACTTTATATACTGCAATGGTAAAACCAATTAGATTCATTTCTCATAATAAAGAGAGTTTAACATGTATAAAAACTGCATCTGCTAACAAAGAAATAAACATATAAAAGAAAAGAAAGAAAAAGAAAAAATATAATGCTGGGGGTGTTCTTACTTTAAATATAGTACAGTCTGCTAAAGTTTTAATTGCTCTTAGTTTTAAATGAATGAATAAATGTATTTGTCTGAACTCCCTGATGAAGGCAACAAAGCACAAGTTTCTAAAGTTTCCTACCAGTAAATTTACATTTATG